CTTTTTCTCGTTTGTTATCATTATATTTACTTTGCATCATATTTTTCTCTTTCTCAAATGTTTTTTTAGATCTTAAGTCCTTCATTTTCCTTGCTCTCTTCCTTCCTTCTTCCTTAGATAAGTTTTGGGATTCAATGAAGATGGCGTCTTCGTCTCTTCCTTGTTGTTCTTCTTCCGTTTCCATCTGTTCCATTGTCTGTTGGTAATTGACCAGCGCCATTTCTAGAAATAGAAAAGCTTTTTCCATGCCATCTTTGCAGGCTGCTTTTGTTTGCTCATATTCATCCCTCAGGTCTTCAAAAAGGAAAGCCATTATAAATAAATCTTTTCTTTTCTTTATTCCTCTTTCTTCTTACACCAACCAAATATTCCGAGAGAAAGGCAAAACAATCCCAAAATCCACAATCCTCAATAAATCCAAGCAAGCCAAAATTCCCCCTTCCTCTTCCAGGGGTGGTATCAAACAAATAAAAAAAAAAAGAGTCCAAATCTATATTTTAAAGCCTTATTAAGATTATATTTCTGTCCTCAAGTCTTCAAGGCATCTCCTCCAACAAGATCCAAATTTATATATTTTCTTTATCCTCTCCCTTCCGGCTTGATTCCGTCGGGAGGGAGAGTAAACTTTCCTTTCAGCACCTCAAAATAGCCGCTTTTTTTTTCTCTTGTGGAAACAATCATCAAAAAACCATCTTTTCCAGGAATTAAATTAGATAAATCTCAAAGCCCTGGGTCGACCAAGAAGAACTTTCACTTTCAATAACTTTCTCTTCTTCCTCCTGCGCATACTTGCCCGGCTGTCAACTTCTTTGTGGCGGCCATTGCGGACCGCCGCTGCACCGTCCTGGTAAAAGGGGGTTCTGCCGGCCAGGGAGGGGGTCTGCAACACCCCCAAACCCTTCCTCCGGATCCCCCTTACCTTCAGCTACCCCTGCAGGGCAGCCTTGCTCCGCACCCGTCCGGGTCGGAGCCCCATAACGGCTAGCGCGGCAGGGATCGCGCAGCTTCGCGAATCCCTACCGCTCGCGAAGCCGACAAACCGGAAACTCTCGGTTCCCAACCTTTTTTTCGCCCTGCACCCCTAAAGAAATTTCACTTGAACCTCGCACCCCCTGAAATAAATAACAAATAAAAATGCCAACATATAGCCAATATCTTATTATTTACCTGGACTTTTCTCACACACCCTGGAATATCTTCTCGCACCCCCAGGGGGTGCGAGCACCCCAGGTTGGGAACCCCTGCCCTAGATGATAGGCTCAAGATTGAGATAGATCTTGACAGAATTGAACACTGGGCCCTATCTAACAAAATGAAATTCAATGTAGAGAAAAGTAAAGACTTACACCTAGGCAAGAAAAACCAAAAGTACACATATAGACTGGGTGAAACCTGGCTTAATTGCAGTAACTGAGAGAGGGATCTTGGAGTCTTAGTGGACAATCAATTAAATATGAGCCAGCAGTGTGTGGCAGCAGCCAAAAAAGCCAATGCAATCCTAAATTGTATTAACAGAGGAATTCAATCAAGATTATGTAAGGTGCTATTACCACTCTATAAAGCCTTAGTAAACATCACACCTAGAATACTGCATCCAGTTTTGGTCACCACACTAAAAAGATGTTGAAACTCTAGAAAGAGTGCAGAGAAGAGCAACAAAGATGATTAGGGGACTGGAGGCTAAAACATATAAAGAACAGTTGTAGGAACTAGGCATGGCTAGTCTAGTGAAGAGAAGGACCAGGGAGACATGATAGCAGTCTTCCAATATCTGAGAGGCTGCCACAGAGAGGAAGGGGTCAAGCTATTTTCCAAGGCACCTGAAGGCCAGACAAGAAATAATGGATGGAAGCTGATCAAGGAGAGATTCAACCTAGAAACAAGGAGAAATTTTCTGACACTAAGAGCAATCAACCAATGGAACAGCTTGCCCTTGGAAGTTGTGGGTGCTTCATCACTAGAAGCATTCAAGAAGAGACTGGACAGCCATCTGTCAGAAATGGTAGGGTCTCCTGCTTGAGCAGGGAGTTGAACTAAATGCCCTACAAGGTCCCTTCCAACTCTGTTATTCTATTCTACTCTTGTTTGCACGCTTCCGAACTGCTAGGAGAGCAGGAGTTGGAGCATCCTGACACACAGCAGCACTCAGGCTTTGAACAATTTGCTGCTGCAAATTGTGGACCCAGCATCGTAACCACATGAGCCACTGCACTATATTGACATACAGTCAAGCTGACCACATGACCATGGAAATGTTTTTGGACAATGCTGGCTTCCTCGGCTAAGAAACAGAGATGAACACTATCCCCTAGAGCAGTGATCCCCAACCTTTTTTATGCCGCGGCCCGGTACCGGCATCAGCTGGGCGCCGCGGCCCGGTACCGGCATCAACTGGGCGCTGCCATCTTTTTTTGATGAAAAAGTGCTTCCGGTGACCTCACCTGAAGCACTTTTTCATCAAAAAAGATGGCGGCGCCAGCGCTTCCGGTGAGCTTTTTCGGGTAGAAATGGCTTTCTACCCAGAAAAGCTCACCGGAAGCACTTTTTTATCAAAAAAAGATGGCGGCGCCCAGCAACCAGCGGCCCGGTAAGACTTGTTCCGCGGACCGGTACCGGTCCGCGGACCGGCGGTTGGGGACCCCTGCCCTAGAGTCAGACATGACCGGACAGGGGAAACCTTGATCTTGACCTTTTTATTCAGGAGTAAGAATAGTTCCTATTGCTCACATCTATGCTAATGCTAAAAACCAGTGAAGGCATTAGCCGACCTTGCACAATCCTATTAATCAGGGATGTCCAATCTTGGCAATTTTAAGACTTGTGGGTTTCAACTCCCAGAATTCCCCAGCCAGCAGATGGACACCTCACTATAAATCTATTACAGAACTGCTTTACTTACCATGTTTTCAAAGTATACACTGTCATTAATTTACAGACACATTTAATGAACATGTGCACAACAAATATGAGTTTTCACAGGAGGTAGGATGCAAATACATCTACCAGGAAGCTAGGATTGCCTAATACATTCAATTTGTCTTGTTTATTATCTATTTATTTATTAGCATTTATATTCTTTTCCAGAGACACTGGGACAATTCACATTCAAATCCAAACTCATGAGGCAACAGTCATCACAACATTAAAACAACGTAACGATACCGATTTTCAATCTAGTCCTTTCTTGCTGTCTGTGATTATGTTTTTTTTAAATGTCAAGGTGAAGACTTCACAGCATGGAAAGAAAATTTTGCTTGGGTCTTATGCCAATCAAGCCCCATTTTTACTAGTATTCAAAAGAGTGTAGTAATATTCAAAGGCAAGCTACAGAGACTAGGTGAAAATTGGCAACTCTTAGAATACATTGCAACAGATGCAGAAGTCCCCACAACTTAATATAAAGCTGAAACGGATAAACCACGAATTTCACATGGTCTGACTGGTGGATTTTTTTTCCTACTCCAGCAAATCTCTTCCCAATTGTGAATGCTTTGTTTTCAGGAACTTTTGGTTTGGGTGGTGGTGGGGAAACCTCCTGAAAGGTTTAGCATATTTATTTTACTTCTTTAAATTTTTTAAATAATTAGTAATATTTAATAAATAAATAAATAAATAAAATTCTAGAAGCTGCTATGCCTTTGGCCTTGCCTATCAGCCTGAACAAAAGTGAAGTATTTTGCCAGCAGGGGCCAAGTCCCAAGTCCAAAGAACTAAAAATCACTCTTGATGATACCCAGTTGAAAAAGGTAAACAGCTTCAAATACCTGGGAAGCATCATCTCGAGTGATGGCTCTATGGATACAAAACTGACTTAGGGATCAGCAAGGCCAGTCAGTGCTGGGATGGCAGTGTACTAGAGTGCTCAATCAACACAACACCCATATCTCCACAAAGCCAGAAGTCTGCAGAGTCCAGGTTATATCTTCCCTCCTATATGGATGTGAATCCAGGACTCTGTACTGAAGACACATCAAACAACTGGAGAAATTTCACATGTGTGCTCTCTGCTCTATCTTTGATATTTGTTGGCAAGACCATGTTTCCAACCTGGAGATCTTGGATATGCAGAGTCCACCACCATTGAGTCTCTAATTATCAGAGCCCAGATGTGATAGTGGGACACGTCATCGGAACAGATGATTGCTGTATGCCTCTCCAGTTTCTCCACTGTGTACTGGAGTCTGGGAAGAGATCTCCAAGTTTGGGAAGAGATCTCGAGGTTAATCATACAAAGAAACGGTGAAAGAAACCTCACACCATTGTGACTTCCAGCTAAGAGAACAAGAAGCTGCAGCTGCTTTCAGAACCCGTTGGCAAGCTTTCTGCTATGAAGCCTTCACCAGCTTTGAAGACACGTGCCACCAAAAACTGATAGAAAATTGTGAGCGGCGTCACAGAATATCACCCACAGTTACCACAACAATGAACTTTCCCGTGCTCCCACTGCACTAGATTCCGTGCTTCTAGAATGGAACTGCAGAGCCGTCTCCATGTATACAGATGAACTGCAAAACAGTGTCCCAAAGGTGCTTTTTTCAAGAGGCAACTGGACTTTCTGGTTTTTCTTTGAAGACGTTATGCCTCTCATCCAAGAACCTTCTTCAGCTCTGACTGGATGCTGGGGAAGAGCTGAAGAAGCTTCTTGGATGAGAAGCAAAACGTCTTCAAAGAAAAACCAGAAAGTCCAGCTGCTTCTTGAAAAAAGCACCTTTGGGACAACCATGACTTAGAATCTCCATAGACATTTGCAAAACAGAGTGTCTTTTTCAAACCTGAAGGGCTACCATATTATACTTCTTAGCCTCAAATTCTACAAAAGCCCAAAATAAACAAACAAAGTAAAACATTTGTATCCACCACTCTGGACATGCTTTCCCCCAAACATTAAGTTTTCCCAACTGCTGAAGAGCAAAATGATACAGATTTACGAAGAAGCACTTCTCTGACCTCATAGCTAAAGACCAAATAGTTATCTTTTCAAAGAACATCAAGCAACTTACCCTTCCTCAGTGGTGTTGATAAGGTCACAAATATGCATAAACTGACCCCATTCTTCTGTCTGCAAGGCTCCAAAAGTAGCTTTCGCTGTTAAGGGAAAGATTGGGCTCACAGTTAAAAAGCTAGACAATTAGGAACAAACTGTTATTTTAGACCAAGGGTCTCCAACCTTGGCAACTTTAAGACTCGTGGACTTCAATTCCCAGAATTCTGGGAGTTGAAGTCCACGAGTCTTAAAGTTGCCAAGGTTGGAGACCCCTGTTTTAGATAATTAAAGTAGGACATTTAGACTTAGGTAGGAGTCAGCTTTTCCAAAATGGGAGAATGGCCAAATATAAATCTAATACAGGTACTACTCAACCTAAAACAGTTCATTCACAATTCACTTTTCAAAGTTCACTATTCAAAGTTACAATGATACTGAAAAAAGTGACTTATGACCTTTTTTCACACTTGTGACCATTGCAGCATCCCCGTGGTCAAAATTCAGATGCTGGGGAACTGATTCATATTTATGATGGTCGCAATGTCCCGGGATCATGTGATCCCCTTTTGTGACCTTCTGACAAGCAAAGTCAATGGGGAAGCCAGATTCACTTAACAACTTGTCACGAACTTACCTGCAGTGATTTAACAGCTGTGGCAAAAATATCATAAAACGAAGCAAAATTCACTTAACATCTGTCTCAGCAACAAAAATTGGGTGCTCAACTGTGGTCATAAACCAGACTACTTGAAAAAAAAAAAACACATCTCTCTCAGCCAACTTTTAAATGTAGGAAATTCAGCTAATAGTATCAGATTGCATTTGGTGGAGTTTCAACATGGTGTTCTGGCTCAAATATATTTTCCAATGCAGTTTAAGGAGCCGTAGGGCAACAACAAGGGTACATCCAAGATAAAATAAGCCTGAAGCCCTCACATGCTATTGAACCTTAATCATCAACAATCTTAATCAACAACTTCTGGAAGTTTGCCCATTGCCCTGTAAAATGCAGGAGCACCAGCACTGCATCAATGCCTATATTCACATTTTCACCCTGGAAGAGGAGGCTTCAGCAGGTGCTATGGGTTGCCTCTATTGGATACACCTGTTGTTAAAATTTGCAAAGTTCCAAAGCATATATGAGGCACTTTGGAGAGTTCTGATCCTCAGTTGCTGACTAAAGTTTCCTGTAAGTAATCTTATAAAAATGTAATATATGAATATCAAAATCTCTTTTCCTTTGTTCAGTTTTTCAAGCTCATCAAAAGTTCAAGTACCCTATAACAATAGGTTGCCATTAGCGTTTCTATTAACAACGCACAACAATCTCACTTTCAGCGGGCAGAGGATAATAGTTTGGAGATGTTACCGCGAGTTACCAGAAAGGAGCGCCACTCTTCCCCCCCCCCCCCACCGGAATCCAGGTTACGGGTTAAGCGCTTCTTCCCCACAACCCCTTGAATACACAAATTCAAGAGCCTCACTTCTGGTCCAATTGTAATTGGAAAATGCCAGGAATCCAATATATCACGATATCAGAAGTTCGCGATCCAGCCGCTAAATTCAGAAAGACGGCTGGGCGGGTTGGACTAGATGACCCACACGGTCCCTTCCCAACTCTGTTCATCTGAACCTGAAGGGAAGGAGCTGCCCGGCAGGCGCCGCTTACCGATCAGGTGGCCCACGGGGGTGCCGAAGGCATCCTTCTGACTCTTTCCAAAAGCCATGCTGAGTCGCGCCTGAGTTTTCGGGCCCGTTCGGGAGACCAGGATCTTCGGATCCGAGCGGAGAACGACGGCTTCTCCCTGGCACCTAACGCCCGAAGCCTCCCTCTTCCTCCGCTCCGGTGGCTGCCCCGTCGGGGATCGCTTTCCAGGAGGCTGGAAGGGAGGAGCTTGGTGACCGCCGTCCAGGTGCTCGCCGGAGCTGGGCGTCCCGTAAGCTCCGCGTCGGGGATCACGTGCCGCGCGGGACTAGATCAGACCTGCCCCGGCTCGGATTTCAAGCGTCGAGAGGCGAGAGAAAAACTGGTCGGAGGGTACGGCGCTCTGCTTGCCCCGCTTCATGGCGGAACCGGCGGGGTGGGGTGGGGTGGGTGGAATACCACGAGGTCGGGAAGCCTCTTTTGCTCCCTGGTAGTTCACAAGCCGTTTCGGTTTGCAACTTCTGCGATTGGTCGGGGGTGCTTTCACATCACCTGGGGTGGTTTGCTTGCCTTTGGGGGGCGGGGGGGAGGACGGTGGGGAGACGATTTGGTATGCCACGACCACACCTTTTTCTCCTGTTCTGATCCAAAACGTGAAGCCTGAGTTCAGTTAATAAACTCGAGCTAATGAACGTCTGTTCGTTATATAATTATAGACTATAATATATAGTATAATAGTATAAATACAGAATAAAATAGAGCTGGAGGGGACCTTGGAGGTCTTCTAGTCCAGCCCCTGGCTCAAGCAGGAAACTATACCATTTCAGACAAGTGGCTGTCCAGTCTCTTCTTAAAATCCTCCAGTGATGGAGCACCTATAACTTCTGAAAACAAGCTATTCCACTAGTTAATTGTTCTCACTATTGAGGAAATTTCTCCTTAATTCCAGGTTGCTTCTCTCTTTGATTAGTTTCCAACCATTGTTTCTTGTCCTGCCCTCTGGTGTTTTGGAGAATAATTTCACCTCCTCTTCTTTGGGACAACCCCTCAAATATTGGAATATTGCAATCATGTCACCCTTAATTCTTCTTTTCTTTAGACTAGCCAAACCCAAATCCTGCAGCTGTTCTTCATATATTTTAGTCTTCAGGCCTTTGATCATCTTAGTTGCTCTTCTCTGAACTTTTTTCAAAGTCTCAACGTCTTTTTTATAGTGTGACCAGAGGTGGTATTCAGCAGGTTCTGACCAGTTCTGGAGAACTGGTAGTGGAAATGTTGAGTAGTTCAGAGAACCGGCAAATGCCACCTCTGACTGGTCCCACTCCCATCTATTCTGTGTCTCCCCAGTCCCAGCTGATCGGCTGGGTCTTCTTTTGTTGCCCTGCACAGGAGAACGGAGCTGGAAAGCAGGTTAGTGGGGTGGGGAGGAAATGGGGATTTTGCAGTATCCTTCCCCTGCCATGGCCACCAAGCCACGCCCACCAAACCACGCCCACAGAACGGATAGTAAAAATTTCTTAATCCCACCACTGGTGGTGACCAATATTGGTTGCAGCATTCCAGGTGTGGTCTTACTAAGATTTTATAAAGTGGTACTAATACTTGACATGATTTTGATTCCATGTCTAGATTCTATGTCTAGAGTCTCTCACAGACCAATTAGCGTTTCCGCTTCCTTTCTGGTAACTTTGGACACCTCCAGAATGCATCACCCTGAAGCAGGTTTCTCACACTTTAGATTTGTAGGCGCAGAAATAAAAGTAGCTTCTATAAAACCATCACCATTCCATCCATCACCCGTATCGTAAAATTAGTAACCATTATCACAACAGACACCCATCTTTATACTGTGGGAACGATCAAAATAATGTCATGGGGCAGAATTCCATCTTTTTTGGAGAAAACTTAATCTTTCCTCTCCTTAGCCTTTCTTTAAACAGCTGTTTGGGGCTGGGGGCCACATTCAGAATTTAGCATGTGTAATGCAGGCACATCAGCCAAACAAGTGCTATGCACGTAAATAGCCTGTTAGGAAGAGTTGCCCTGGTGGGTTGTATGGCATCAGTGCTTTTTAGTAAATTATATGCATGTGCATATAAAATTGTTTATAGTTTAGTTTATTGTCATTGCACCTCATACAATGAAATCAAACACCATCTTCAGTGCACATCATAACCATGAAAATAAACACAAACACACATCCTTCACATTAAACCGAAACCCCTGACACTGCACCAACATTGCACTATACAGCAGAATTTAAAAGAGCTACTGCCCTGGGATAGAAGCTGTTTTTCAGCCTATTTGTCCTTGTTTTTATTATTCTGTACTGTCTGCCAGATGGTAATAGTTCAAAAAAAGGGTTCCCAGGATGAGATGGATCTTTGAGAATGTTTTGAACTTTCTTAAGGCAGCGGGAGCTATAAAGCTCTTCCAAAGAGGGGAGAGGGCAACCAATGATCTTCTGGGCAATGACATTAACCCTCTGGAGTGCTTTCCTATCTGCCACTGTGCAATTGGCAAACCATACAGAGGTGCAGTAAGTTAAAATGCTCTCTATGGTGCAGTGGTAGAAGGTCACCAGCAATTTTCATTCAGTTGTTGTTTTCTGAGAAGTCTCAGGTAGTATAATCTCTGCTGGGCCCTTTTGACAAGTGCTGCAATGTGAGCACCCCACACTTAGCTATAAGGCTCTTAGACTTATATACCGCTTTACAGTGCTTTACAGCCCTCTCTAAGCAGTTTACAGAGTCAGCATATTGCCCCCAACAATTTGGGTCCTCATTTTACCGACCTCAGAAGGATGGAAGCTGAGTCAACCTTAAGGCTGGTGAGATTTGAACTGCCAAATTGCAGGCAATCAGCAGAAGTAAGCTGCAGTACTGCACTCTAATCACTGTGCCACAATGGCAAGATAATTAGAATAATCTTTAAAAAGTTATCTATTGTCAAATTGATCGTGTTTTCATGATAGTCTGTAATCTATCTGAGGGCTGAAGGGAAACAAAACAGGATGTAAATCCTGTTAATTACATTTTACAGTTGGGACAAGAGCCACAATGAGATTTGATTTTTTTTTTCCAGATTAAATCCCAGTGACTTCACTGGAATGCATTTCCAGATTCACAACTGCAGGCAAAATCCACATTCAGGAATGTTCCAGGGGTTTTGCAATTCCTTAAACATTCTACTTCAACTTGGGGTCCCTCAAAAAAGCATACTTCAATTCCCAGAATTTTCAGTAATGTTCAAATTAACTATGGGATCCTGGAATCCACTTCCCATTAACTGTGATTTACCTGAATTCTTCTCATGTCATCTCAATTAAGGCTGGTTAGGAAAATGAGTAATTCGGGAAGCTATATTATGGCATTTCAGTTCTTCCAGGCATGCAACTCTACCATTATACTATCATAACACATTGTTGCACCATTTATCATAGTTGAAAAAGAAGGGCAGGAGAGGCCTAAACAATTTATTGAACGTTGTAATCAACCACAATGTGGCATTTAGAAAGAGTGAAACATTAGATAAAAACATTTGGTGCTCTTTTGTTCTGACTTCAGCACTTTTCTTTTCTCTCTGGATTTGAACTAAAAAAATTGGCGTTTTCTCTTACCTGTTTTACATTTATTTACACAGCAGGAATGCTTGTGAATCCAGATGCATCAGGAGGAAGAATGACAGGATAATGAAAATGGGTTCTCTAGTATATTTTAATAGTTGAAGATCAGGGTTGGCCCAATAAGGTAGACCAGACTAGCAAATCAATGCCATATAAACCAGGATTACTTTTATTGTAACAGGTATAGTAGTAAAATCTGAAAATGCTTCCATTTCAGTGTGAATTAGAGAGGGATCTGTTTGGGATGTTTTCTCAAGTTACTTTTTTGGCCTGGGCTCAAAGGCCCTTTTATCTGAATATTGCCTTGATAGTGGTTCTTCCTCCTGTCTTTCAAGGCCATTCCCCATTTCCTCCCCAGTCAATAACTTAGTTTTTTAAAAAAATTCAACAAATCAACATAGCTGATTAGCTTATATATCAGGTGAGATACTTAAGATGTAACAGACACTATTCTAGATCTGTGTTTGACATGAAGCCAATTCCAGTCATTTCTGCTTAAAAGTGGATCAGTGGAATGTTAGACAGCTTTCCAGAGTCATAAGGTTTTAGGCCTTTAAGGACAGTCAACAAATACCAGTTAGTGTCAAGGCCCAGGACTCAGACTAATCCAAAGAAGCAATTCCAGCTGAACCATGGAGACACCAAGTGTTTTTAGGAAACACTGTTGAGGTAATTCCCCGTTAGGAGAATGAGCGCACACAGGGAGACATAGTGAGAGTGGTGAAGAATAACACACCACCAGCACACATATACACTGTATAGTAAAAATGTAGGCTTTACTTCCAATAAACATTTAAGCAAAGTGCAACAAGCAGACCAAGTCATTCACGGTTAAAGCAGTCAGTTTTCAGTCCAGGGATAATCCAATAACAAAGTCCAGTATCAAAAACAGTTCAGTAAAAGGCTCATATCAAATCCAAGAATAACGATGATCAGCAACAGTCAATAGGGAAATGCAGGAAAGGCAGCACTCTCTACAACAGGACCAAACAACCCAGGTTTCTGGCTCCATCTTATGGCCATTTGAGGAACCACACCCAATTACCATTTTAGCATTCCCTTAAAGAGACAGTATTAAAATGTCTATCCTGGTTTATATATTTTCCAACCCAACTGTTAGGTGACTTACATTCCTAGCAAACAACAAGTTAGGAATCAGGTGAGTTGATAAGGAACATCAGAACAGCTAGAATAATAAGATGATGGCATATCACTTCCAAGCCTTTGGACTCCAGGGGTAGGATGGAGAGCAGAGGAAAGATGTTCACTGAGACCCCCTTTCAAACACCTGGCTTAACTAAAAACAGCTTTATGTAAGACTTAATAGTACTTAAGTCTTATGTGGGATTTAGAAACAATCATCTGATTTTCTATGTCTGGTGTGTTGTCATCTTTAGCTTATGTAAGAAACTTGAAACTCTTGACCCTTGGACTGGCTCATAATCCTTGCTTGGTTATCTGAGACTGAATTTATTGTGCTTAATTTTTATTATATTCCTTGACTGTAGACTGTAGACCAGAGGTCTCCAAACTTGGCAACCTTAAGACTTGTGGACTTCAACTCCCAGAATTCCTCAGCCAGCATAGCCAGAATTCGGGGAGTTGAAGTCTACAAATCTTAAAGTTGCCAAGTTTGGGGACCCCTACTGTAGACCTCAGATCTAAAGTAGAATCATAAATGGTGATGGACTAGCCAGCAAGTGCCACAGTGGTGGGATG